TTTTTTTTTTTTTTTTTTTTTTTTAAAAAAAAAAAAAAAAAAAAAAATATATATATATATATATATATATATATATATATATATATATATATATATTTTTTTTTTTTTTTTTTTTTTTTTTATAAAAAGCAGAAATAAAACCAATAAGACTTTCTCCAGAAGAAAAAAATATTATCAGACATACTGTGAAAAATTCCTTGCTCTGTTAAACATCATTTGGGAAATATAAAAAAAAAATCAAAGATGGGTTAATACATCTAGTTTTATAAATGTATATATATGAAAATTTAAGAGAAGCAAAACTATTTTAAAAATTTGCAGAAATTTTTTAGGTTGTAATTTATTTTTTGCAATATTTAGCTTGAATTTTATTTTATTATCTTTCAATTTCTAAATATGTTTTGTGACTAAAACATTACTTTAATAAATAAATCTGTTTAATAAATCTGTTTTGTTTAAATGCACTAAAATAAATTGCCTATATTTACTGAAATTGAGAAAAATATTAATTTTCAAAATAGGGTGTACTCAGTTATGCTGAGCACTGTAAGTGCAGCTTAACACTAGAACTACCGAGGTGGTCATTTTGACCATTTTTTTTAGTTAGCGATTTAATAACTTCGTTGAAATAAAACACACATATCTATAATTCTCTGACTTTTACTTAATATGTGTGTATTTCTTTCTAACATTGTTATTGTGTTAAGATTACAAAACACAAAAGAGTTTTCATTATTTCTCACTAGAACTATCATAGCGGTCATGCTGTGACGAGGAGACTGACACAGAGGGATCCATCTGCAGTATGTTTATTGAACTCAGTAGAATCAGAAACACAAGAGAAATGTTGTAGACACTCGCATAAGACAAATCAGTCTAAATGAGGAAGCATGTGTGTGTGGGCGAAGTGCATGTATGAAGTTGTAGTCCATTTACAAGCAGATTTGTAGTTCCATGAGTGTGAATGTTTTCCAGTGACCTCTGGTGGTTAGAGGTCGCTGGTGATTGTGACACATGCATTTCAATTGTCTGCTACTTGTCCTTGTGACTTTAAATATGCGTGCCTCTGCTGCCTAGCAACTTCCTGCTATCCGAAACAGAAATTTCTGTTAACAAAAACATAACTTTACTTCAGATATGTCTTTCAAAACAGCGTATTAAATACAGTGAAAAAGCCTCCTCTGCTTGAGAAAGTAAAAATAAAAGCGAGTCATGAACTAACTTCACATTCATAGGCTGTATTACCAAAAATATAGTATTTTCTAGGGTGATGGCTTAATTATAAATGACAACAGACATACAAATCTTAATTTTAATAGAAGCTGTAAATGTAAACATGACGTACAATGTGACATTTTATATGAGAAAGATTAGAATGACCCCCAGCAGGCACAGAATGTCAACATGACGTCAGATTGATGTTGTACACCAATGTCGGAGGATGTTGCATTTTGGCTGGAAATGAAAATCGGAAAATCGGAACCCATTGTTAGACAGTTGGACAGATGTTGGACTCTAGTCACTTTCCAACACAACCTATAAACAACCACATATCAATGTCTGATTAGGTTAGTGTCAGGGTTCTGCCACTCTGGTCATGTAAATTCTTGTTTTGGTGGCAGAATCCAGACACTAGTCATGTCTAATCCTGTCATGTTGTGCTTGGCTCAAGTTTTCTTGGGTCGAGCACTTGTTTCTGTCATTGTGTGTGTCTCCGTGTGTGCGCGCGCCTTCGTGGATGCAGCCGCGCGGGCTCTGCGTCCCTCACTCGTGTTTGTGTTCGTCTGTCTGCAGCGTGGTGTTTTATTCCCAGCATCTCAGTCTTGTTGGTTTCAGTTTTGGTCGGCGCTGGGATGAAGCATGCACGCTGCGTGTGTGAGCGCACGGTGAGTAGTTTCATTCATCGTGTGCTCGTGTCTTGCGTCTGTTGTCAAAGCACGTGGCTATATGTTTACATTGTGGTCACGTGCTTTTGTCGTGTGCTTCAGTGTTGTGCTCGTCTTGTCATGAACATGCGGTTAATGAGTTCTCTTATTGGCTGCATGTTCTTGTCCTGTTTTGTGTGAGCGCATGGCTTGTGTTGTCTCTCTGTGTCATGCGCTCTCCCGTCTATTGTCTTTTGTCCCTCCTTGTTAACTCATTGTTAGTTTGTCATGTTCACCTGTTTGTGTCAATTTAGTTTTGCTTTATAATCCCCTCATGTTTTCTGTTCTGTGCCAGTTCGTCGTCGATAGTTCCCTGTCCTGTTGTATCCAGCCCTGCCTTGTCCTGCCAGTCCAGTCAAGTTTGTTTGTTCGTCCATTTGTTTTATTAGAGTTTTCCCCCTCGGGGTTGTTTGTTTTGCCTTTTTGTTTTTATTTTATTATTAATAAAAACCCATTATTGCTGCACCTGAGTCCTCGCTCCTTTTCCCCTCACCCGACCGTGACAGTTAGAGCTTGATGTTGTGTGGACGTTACCACTATGACGTCTATTAGACGTTGGAGTTTGAAGAAATACCTGAAGAAATGAATATCAGTATTTGACGTTGGGTTAAGATGTTGGCTAGATGTTGGATTTTGGTCACTTTCCAACACAACCGAAAATCAACCAAAAATCAACGTCATTTGACTTTGTTATTGGACATCAAAATAGCTTTGTCCTTAGACCCTGGCTACACATTCAATTTTGATTAAGCGAACAAACTGGTTGCATCGGGAAAGCCCTCCACTCACAGGCGAGCCGGCGAGCGCGAAGAGGAGGGGCGGAGCGGCGCCACACCTCCCCGCAGCGTTCGCTCGAAAAAAACCAAACGCGGCCTTTACGTACCTCCTGCCACGTAAATCGCGGTCTCCAGAAACGTCCGCGGGGCTACGTTTCCAGAATGAGCTTCGGTTGACCTATATCTAACCTAATATTAACGTCTTATGACGTTGTGTGCCTGCTGGTGTAACGCTTCTCTTCCTGATGACGCAAATCACTCAGGCGGACACAGAGAACTGCGTTCTGCGTTGTTTATTCTGTAACAGAAATATACATCCTCTGGCAACAGTATGCATTTAAACATGCATCGCCTTTCTGCATTCAGCAACCATTTTCTGCTGTGTTGCCACATAAAGTCATTTTAACAAAACATTATTTATTTACAAAAGTTCAACATACCTGTAACAGAAATATACATCCTCTGGCAACAGTATGCATTTAAACATGCATCTAAAAAAACCAAACAAATAGTAAGAAATCACCCCTCAACATATTAATGTCATCATTCCAGCTACACGTAGCATGAGCAAATTAAACCACACAAAGTTTGTCACACACGGCAATCACTCGACAGATTTAATCTAAAACATCACTTAATGTTCAATTTGGACTTGTATGTGTTATTAATATGTGTTAAAATACAAAATTTGTCACATTTAGCTGGAGCACATTTTACCTACCGCCTTTCTGCATTCAGCAACCATTTTCTGCTGTAGGCGGGGCTTTGCAGGTGAAAGGTGAAAGAAACAATTACACACTGTTGCCACAAGAGGTCTCTCAACAGCCACAAAATAAACAAAATAACCCATTTTAGTGAAAGACAATTAAACATTATTTTAACCCTGTTACACTGGGATGTCTATAATTTCAATAGTTACAGATCCTGGTAGTTCCAGTGTTAAGATCTACAGCAGGGCCGTAGAAATGTCACTTTCTCAGTGTCGATTTTCAAGGAACTCAAGAACCGTTTGCAACTCCGATTTCTGCACCTATGGTCAATATCGGGCTGAGCAAGAAGCAGTGTTTTATTTGTGTTTTCTCTGATAGTGCTAAAACTTCGGCACATGGATATTATGGCTCTTTTCCATTGCTCATTCATCAGTGCCAAGGCTCTGTATGTCTGGCGATATCTACATTGATTGCTTAAACAGTGAATCGGGTCTGGCTGATCCGCTAACTCTAAGATACTATACATTGAATGTGAGGGAAACAGTTTTTGAAGAGAGCATCTACAAAATCCGTTCACGTCAAATGTCAATGTTTTTTTGATGCACTTCGGTTTTGTGGATGTCACTGAAAAGTTCAAGTTACTTGGTTTCGGTGTCACCCCCAGTGGAACTATCTGTTCATCAGCAGCGACTCTGTGATCCTGCAGTGACAGGAATCATAATGGTCAGATTATCAGTGTTGATGTGTGTAATGATATTGATACAAGAACACAAGCTCACCTGTAGAGCAGCTACAATGAGGAGAAGAGCTACAATCATCACCTTCATTCTGTCCAATGATCTACAAGATACAGAGAATATACTGAATACTAAAATCATCATGCCAATTTATACAAGTGTGACAGTAATAACGTCTCTAAAGCATTAAAGCATTATAATAATATTTTACTTTACCTCCAAGTTGGGTGGAGAAGGTTATCCAGGGGCTCGAGATGAGAATGATGTATGATAAGATGCAGTATGAGGACGACAGCAGTATTTAAAGCCAAATATGAGGAAGTCAGTTTTTTTTCCCCAAAAATAATTTGGATTTAATTAATTTAATTGTGTGTGTTTGTAAGTGTGTGCATTTGTTCTACAAAATATGGCTGGGACAAACCAAAAAACAAGACTTTTTTTCTGAATTAACTAATAAACACTTATTAAATATAAATGTATGTATGTTTTTTATTTATGATGTAATAATCCTGGATATATTTAGCTCTTCTAAGAATCTTTGTATGAGGATGTGAAACTGCACGTGTGCATTTTCTTCAATGAACAAATTTCCAGTTCCCTTAGGACATCTTAAAGGGCACCTATGGTGAAAAATCTACTTTTCAAGCTGTTTGGACAGACGTGTGTATATAGTGTATAGACCGTCATATTGGGGTGATATAAACACACACAGTCCTCTTTTTTTCAACTCAACAACATAAAAACGGTGGACAAATTGGGGTGGTTTTGAGACCGACCGTAACTATATGTAGGAGTGCGGCCCCCCCGCTCACCAATATTGATTGACAGGCATGCATTATCACATCCTCAGTTTGTTGATTCATGTCCGCCATTTTCAGTAAGTGAGTCAAAGTGATGTCACTAAGGGTCTACTCACACTATGCTATCCGTACCGTGCCCAGGTTCGTTTCCCGGATCATTTGAGATGTGTAAGTTCGCTGAATCGGGCTCACGCATGGTACACTTGGCCGCCCCTGCCCCGGTTGGAAGAGGCATGAGCGCGGTTCCCTTGGGCTTTGGCGCGGTACGCTTGTGTGTGAGTGCAAAACGCGCCAAAGCCCAAAACTGAAAGCGAGACGTGACTTTTAAGGGACTGTTTCATATGGGTTTATTAATCAATCTTACTTTTCAGTGAACGCAAAACTGGCATAGTTTATTAAATACACAAACCCCTCACTACATGACAGCTGCACCTTCAGCAAACTTCCTCATTCCTGCAGCACGAGGGCTTTATTATTGTTTATGAGCGTCACAAGTGGCTGATCTGTTCGGCGAAATATCTGACTGCGTGTCACCGCATCCCTAAGGACTAAAGCGATATACCTAAAGAAATCTCCACTGTGCTAAGCGAGAGAGCTTACTGAACAGCGCAGCATCAATGACGTAAGCGTGCCCAGGCCCAATTGTAATGTGAGTGTGGGCCGTCGGGGGAGACGGAGGGAGGACAAGCGTGCCTTGGCCCGGTTCGAGGCAACTGTACATAGTGAGAGTACGCCCTACAGGAACATCCTTGCTCTATTTTGGATACAGCTCATTGGGCTCAACACAAGAGCCTTTATTATCTTCCAGCGAATGAGCAACAGAGATTTTACATTTAGCGGTGATTTGCGCTGAACACACAGTGAATGCAACGTATCGAGATTTGAGTCATTAAAAACAGCTGATCCACAGAGTCCTTTAGCACTCTCTCCAAAAACAGCGGATCAACATTCACCACATGATCGCTCTCATCGGCGCCATTGTTTGTAACTTTAGGTAGGTTTGCAAACATGTGTACGGTACTTTTCATTGCGTCTTCGTTAAACTTCAGTCATTTGCATTTCCTGCGGTCATCTCAACTAGGTGCGGTTTTAAAGTGCGTGCTCGTTGTGCCTTGTGTGTGCATCCCTTCATTGGAAATAATGAACTAGCCTCAATCAAAGTTAATCCAGTGTGCGTGGTTATTAGTCTCGGTGTACATGCTTGGAACTTCTAACTAGCACACAGTTGGCATAACTTTGTTTAGTTGTTGCAGTTTTGTTCCGTGCTGTAAGACAGTGTTGAGAAGCATTTATTATTAACTAACCATGACAAAGTAAATCAGAAAAAAATACCTTAAATGAGCTAATAATTATGACCTTAAAATGACTTTTAAAAAAATTAAAAACTGCTTTTATTCTAGCCGAAATAAAACAAGTAAGACTTTCTCCAGAAGAAAAAATATTATCAGACATACTGTGAAAATCTTCTTGCTCTGTTTAACATCATTTGGAAAATATTTGAAAAAGATTAAATGGAGGGGGGGGGGGTTAGGGGGGCGAACAAATCTGATTGAACTGTAGTTAAAGTTAGTTGTGATTATCTCTTAAGAACTTTATCTTCTTTATTTATCCTGAGACATCTCTTTGTTGCTTGATTTGTTGTTCTATTTACAATGAATAAGTTGAATAAGTAAGTAAGTAAAGGTTTATTTATATAGCACCTTTCCCAGACATTAAATCACAAAGTGCTTTACAATAAGAGAAAACAAGTAAAAAAAACAAATAAAACACACAAGACAATAAAAGAAGGCATGTTAAAACATATTAAAACTAATTAAAAATCCAAATGCAAAAACACTAATACTGTTCATTAAAAGCTTGACCAAATAGGTGTCTTTAAATGCTTTTTACAAAAGTTCAACTGATCCTAGGGTTCTCGGTGCTATAGGCAGAGAGTTCCAGAGCCGTGGGGCCACCACACAGAAGGCACGGTCACCTTTAGTCTTAAGACGGGTTCTGGGAATGGCTAAAAGGTGCCAGAAGACCTTAGAGACTGGCTGCAAGAGTGACTACTTAAACAATCTTGAATATATAGGGGAAGAATATAGATCCTTTTGTTGTCTGAGCTCTTTTATGTTGCGACTCAAATGAAGGGGGTCGTAACAAACACAAAAGAAGATATTTTGAAGAAAGCCAAACCTGTAACCATAGACTTCCATAGTAAGAAAAAAAAATACGGAAAACTGCTAATTTATGGATATTTGTTACTGTGTTGTGCATACAATTCTAGCAGCACACTCTCAGGAATAAAGGTACGCGAGCTGTCACTGGGGTGGTACCTTTTCAAAAGGTACATATTTGTATCTAAAGGGTACATAATGGTACCTATTAGTATCTAAAGGTTAAGAGGAACGCTTTTGTACATTTTAGGTACTAATATGTACCATTGAGGTATTAATAAGGATCTTTTAGGTAAAAATTTGTACCTTTTGAAAAGGTACCACTTTAGTGACAGCTCATGTACCTTTATTTCTGACAGTGCAGGATCAGAGATGTATAAAGTACTAGAGACCCATACTTAAGTAAAAGTACAAGTGCTTTATCAAAAATTGACTTGAGTAGAAGTAGAAGTGCTCTTTAAGCACCATACTTAAGTGGAAGTACAAAAGTATTCAACATTTTTTGTACTTAAGTATTACAAGTAGTTTATTTCAAAATTTACTACTCAAGTACTGAAAGTAAAAGTACAAGTATTGTGTAATGTAGTTATTAAAGAAAGCAGTCAAAATACACTAATTGTTTTGTTTATTTTAAATATCTTTTTGGGGTACTTGATTAAGCAGAACGAAAAGAAACAGGGCTTATGATACTGTTTTTCTCTGTAAATAGTTTCTATGGTACAAGAGCTCACATCGTCAGGCCCTTTTACCAGAAAATGCCTTCACTGATGAGATAATTCAGCATGTTCACTCACATACATTCTCTCTCTCTCTCACACACACACACACTGCCCTGCACACACCTAAATGTACACTCTCTCCCCACTCTCACACATTCATACACTCTCACACACACACAGTTCTCTCTCTATCTCTCTCTCTCACACACACACATTTTTGTGAATTGTGGGGACATTATATAGATTGCAATTGTTTTTACACTCTCTCTTACACACACACACACACACACACACACACACACACACACACACACACACACACACACACACACATACGCACACACAGGTACAATCACACTGTTGTTTTCTCTTACACATTATTCACTCTCACTCACACACACACAATGACACACTCACACTTTGGGAGTTTTGAAGTTTAATTGCTTTAAAATCAAAAGCTTTAAACTAAACAAGCAAACTAAATCCTGCTTCACAAGTTCACTTGATTTTGATTTTATTGTAAAAAAACAGGAAAATGTGTATATTACTCTGTTAAATGAAAATCTGAAATATTTTGTGGCTTATGGCTATAATTTAGTAATAATTTTTATTTATTTTTATTATGTTTTTAATGAAATTGGTCTTACAGTTCATATTTTCTGTAGTATATTTATTAATTCTGGTACTTTTACCATAAACCAACATCTCAACCATTTGGTAGAGGCTGATATTTTAGAAATAATGTGATGTGTTGAATAAAAATGCACTGATTGTGTTAAATAGCGACATTAGGAGTTAAGAAATGCAATCAAAAAAAATTCTATTGCTTTTGTCTTGGTGTGACAGTTAAAGGGGTTTTTGTAATAAATTTTGTCCTTTAATACAGCAGTCAGATATACGAACTGTGCCCTCAATTTGACCTGCTCAAAGAAAACACTCTTTCTGGATGTATCAAGCAAAACTCATGCACAGAAGACAGCACGAGCATTTACAGCTAATAAACTCATGTCAATATTATCCCGCCTGCTTTTTGAGCGATGACAGGCGGGTCTTACACGGCTATGATTGGTTATTGTCCTCAACAGAAAGGGCTTTAGAAATATAAGCGCTGTTCACCCATGGCGGGAAGAATACGCGATTATCACAGGTAATAGACACAGTGGAGAAAACTTGGCACGCTCATGTCTGGATACACAGCTTTAACAGCTAAGAAGAGAGGAAAAGTTACCTTACAAACTGACCAGCGGGTCAAATGTCCAAAGTGAGAGAGCGAGAGATAGGCAGAGGTGAAGTTTTACAACATTTCTCCCTAACAGTAAACTAGCGGCTGGTATGCTGTGCCGCCTCGCCCTCGCGCCTCCGTCCTCCGCCATAGTATTGCGACATCGCGCATAGGAGATAAATGACGTCATCACGTAATAACCGGGTATGACCTATTAATGAACTGATATCAATCATTTTGACACCCCTAGTAACGAGTAACGATGCAGCACATAAAAAATCTATCGGAGTAAAAGTATTAAACTCATGTAAAATATGTACTTAAGTAAAAGTGGAAGTAGGAGAAAAAAATAATACTCC